GAAGGTGTCGGGGAGGTTTTTGGGGAACACCTTCCTGGAACCTTCCTAGAAACTTCCTCAGGAAGGTTGTTGTAAGGTTTTGGACAAACCTTCCTGAAACATTACCACAACTTTCCTCGGGAAGGTTTTGGAAACGTCTGTTTTGGACAAGCCTTCCTGAAACCTTCCTAAAACCTCATTCAGGACAGTTGATGGAAGGTTTTGGGGAAAAACCTTCCTGAAACCTTCCTAAAACCTTCCTCAAGGAGGTTGTCTTGGAAGGTGTTGGGGGACACCTCCCTGAAACCTGCCTGAAACCTTCCTGGGGAAGGTTCTTGGAAGGTTTTTTATGGAAAGCCTTCCTGGAACCGTCCTAAAACCTTCCTCAGGAAGGTTTTTGGAAGGTTTAAGGGAGAACCTGATTGGAGCCTTCCTATAACCTTCCACAGGTAGGTGGTTGCAAGGTTCTTGGGACCAAACAAAACCTTCCTGAAACCCTCCTAAACCCTTCCTCGGGGGGGGGGGGGGGTATTTTACAAAACAAAAAAAAAAACCTTCCTGGAACCTCCCTAAAACATTACTCGGGAAGTTTTTTTCGCTGGGAAGGTTTTGGAGAAAACCTCCGCGAAACCTTCCTAAAACCTTCCAAGGGGAGGTGTTTGAAAAGTGTTTGGCGCAAGCCTTTATGTAACCAGCCTGAAATCTTCCTCGGGAAGGTTGTTAGAAGGTTTTGGGAAAACGCCTCGCTGAAACCGCCCCAAAACCTTCCCTGGGGAGTTATCTATATATATATATATACAATTTGGAAAACAAAAACCTTCCTGTAACCTTCCTAAATAAAACCTTCCCCAGGAAGGTTGTTGGAAGGTTTTTGGGGGAAAAAACTGTCCTGGAACCTTCTAAAACCTTCCGCAGGAAGGTGTTCGGAAGGTTTGTGGGACAACCTTCCTGCAGCCTTCCTAAAACCCTCCTCAGGAAGGTTGCTGGAAGGTCTTTGGGAAAACTTGTTTTACCTTCCTAAAACCTTCCTCAAGAAGCTGTCTGGAATGTTTTGTGGGACAACCTTTATCTGGAACCTTCCTAAAACCTTCCCCGGGAAGATTGTTGGAAAGTTTCGGGAAAAATCTTCCTAACACCTTCCTAGAACCTTCCTCAGGAACGTGTTTGGAAGGTTGTGTTGGGTAAACCTTCCTGGAACCTTCCTAAAACCTTCCTCGGGAAAGTGTTTGGTAGTTTTTTTGTTGAAAAACCTTCCTGGCACCGTTCTAAAACCTTCCTCAGGAAGGTTGTTGTGGCGTTTTTGGGAAAAACCTTCCTGGAACCTTCCTAAAACCTTTCTCAGTAAGGTTGTTGGACGGTTTTTTTTGCACAAGCCTTCCTGGGACCTTCCTAAAACCTTCCTGGGGAAGGTTGTTGAAAGGTGTTTGGGACAAACCTTCCTGCAACCTGCCTAAAACCTTCCCTGGGAAGGTGTTTGGAAGGTTGTTGGACAAACCTTCCTGGAATATTCCTCAAACCTTCCTCAGGAAGGTGTTTGGAAGATTTGTGGACAAACCTTCCTGGAACCTTCTTAAAACCTTCCTCGGGAAGGTGTTTGGGATGCTTGTGGGAAAAACCTTCCTGGAACCTTCCCGAAACCCTCCTCAGGAAGGTTGTTTTGTAAGGTTTGTCGGGAAAACCTTCCTGAAACCTTCCTAAATCCTTTTCTCAGGAAGGTGGCTGAAGGCTTTTGAAGAAAAGATGACAACACACACACACACACGCACACACACACACACACGCACACGCACACGCACACGCACACGCACACGCACACGCACACGCACACGCACACGCACACGCACGCGCACGCACACACACACACACACCACCACCACCACCACCAACACCACCACCACCACCACCACCACCAACAACAACAACAACAAAAACGAAAGACATAAAAAACAAACCTTCCTGGACCTCCCTAGGACCTTCCTCGGGAAGGTGTTGGAAAGGTGTTTAGGAAAAACCTCCCCGAAATCTTCCTAAAACATTCCCCGGGGAGGTTTCCGGAAGGTTTTTGGCACAAGCGTTCCTGGAAGCTTCCTAAAACCTTCCCCGGAAAGGTTTTTTGAAAGGCTTTGGGGGAAAAGCCTCACTCTAACCTTCCCAAAAACCTTCCCTGGGAAGGTGTTTTGATTTGTTGGTTTGCAAAAACCTTCCTGGAACCTTCCGAAAACCTTCCCCAGGAAGGTTGTTGGAAAGTTTGTGGGAAAAAACCTTCCTGGAACCTAAAACCTTCCGCAGGAAGCTGTCTGGAAGGTTTCTGGGGAAAACCTTTTTGGAACCTTCCTGAAACCCTCCCCAGGAAGGTTGTTTGGAAGATTTTGAGGGGAAACCTTCCTGGAATCTTCCTAAAACCTTCCTCAGGAAGGTTTTTTTTTTGTTTTGACAGGCCGTTTTGGAAAAGCCGCCCTGGAACCTTCCTAAAACCTTCCTCAGGAAGATTGATTGGAAGGCTTCGGGAAAACATTCCTGATACCTTCCCAGAACCTTCCTCGGGAACGTGGTTGGGAGGTTTTGTTGGACAAACCTTCCTGAAACCTGCCTAAAACCTTCCTCAGGAAGGTTTTTGCTTCCTAAAACCTTTCTCAGTAAGGTTGTTGGACGGTTTTTTTTTAACAAGCCTTCCTGGGACCTTCCTAAAACCTTCCTCGGGGAAGTGTTTGGAAGGTTTTTCGGTGGAAAAAAACCTTCCTGAAACCTCCCTAGAACCTTTCTCAGAAAGGTGTTGGGAAAAAACCTTCCTGAAACCGCCCTAAAACCTTCCGCAGGAAGGTTTTTTGGGAAGGCTTGTCTGTTGAACAGCCTGCCTGAAACCTTCCTAAAACCTTTCCCAGCAAGGTTTTTGGAAGGCGTTGGGAAAAACCTTCCTGAAACCTTCCTAAAACCTTCCTCAGGAAGGTTTTTTGGAAGGTTGTTTTGAAAAAAACCTTCCTGAAACCTTCCTAAAACCTTCCTCAGGAAGGTTTGTGGAAGGTTGTCGGGAAAACCCGTCCTGGAACCTTCCTAAAGCCTTCCTTAGGAAGGTTGTTGGAAGGTTTTTGGACAAACCTTCCTGGAACCTTCCTGAAGAAACCTTCCTCAGGAAGGTTGTTGGGAAGTTTTTTTGTGAAAAACCGTCCTGAAACCTTCCTAAAACCTTCCCCAGGCAAGTTTTCGAAAGTTTTTGGGAAAAAAAACGCCCTGGAACCTTCCTAAAACCTTCCTCCGGAAGGTTTACTGGAAGGCATCGGGAAAGCATTCCTGAAACCTTTCTAGAACCTTCCTCAGGAACGTGGTTGGAAGGTTTTTGGGGGAAACCTTCCTGAAACCTTCCTAAAACCTTCCTCGGGAAGGTTTTTTGGAAGGTTGTTGGGAAAAACCTTCCTGGAACCTTCCTAAAACCTTCCTCAGGAAGGTTGTTTGGAAGGTTTTGGCAAAAACCTTCCTGAAACCTTCCTAAAACCTTGCTCAGGAAGGTTTTTGGAAGGCTGTTGGGAAAACCTTCCTGAAACCTCCCTAAAACCTTCCTCAGGAGGGTTTGTTGGAAGGTTGTTGGGAAAAATCTTCCTGAAACCTTCCTAAAACCTTCCTCGGGAATGTTTTTTGGAAGGTTGTTGGGAAAAACCTTCCTGGAACCTTCCTAAAACCTTCCTCAGGAAGGTTTTTTGGAAGGTTTTGGCAAAAACCTTCCTGAAACCTTCCTAAAACCTTGCTCAGGAAGGTTTTTGGAATTGGCTGTTGGGAAAACCTTCCTGAAACCTCCCTAAAACCTTCCTCAGGAGGGTTTGTTAGAAGGTTTTTGCAAAAAATCTTCCTGAAACCTTCCTAAAACCTTCCTCGCGAAGGTTTTTTCCAGGTTTTTGACAAAAACCTTCCTGGAACCTTCCGGAAACCTTCCTCAGGAAGTATGTTGGAAGGTTTTTGAAAAACCTTCATGGAACCTTCCTAACACCTTCCTCAGGAAGGTTTCAGAAGGGGTTGGCCGAACTGCCGCACCCAACTGGGAAGGCTGCGGGTCCCGCGGGAAACCTGCCATGGGCCCCGGGACAGCCTCCAAGACGAGCTGCCGTCGGGTGGATTGGGGAGGACACGCGAGAGGCCACACGACCCCTCCGACGGCCACATTGCCACAGGAGTGTAGAAAAACGCATGCGACGCGGAGTAGAGGGCACAAGGGTAGCCTGGATTTGGCAGAGTCGTCTTACCAATCAACGCTCCCGAACTGTTTTGGTGACGATCCTGCGGGTCCGGGGTTAACACTGGAGCCCGAAAACTGCGGAAAGCGTAAGAACCCGTTTCCCTCAGGACCCGTGATTGGGCGGGGGCAGAAGAGGCACTGATACAGAAACTCCCTGGACCATGCCACGGATGCGGTCTGACCAAGACTACGGAACGAGTCCAGCCGTAACAAGCGGAACGAAAAACGACATAACGAGGTCCGCGCGGATTTCTCGGATCGGCGCTGGAACCCCCTTCCTGGCGCGCGGAGCGCGCCAAGGGCGGCGCCAAACGCGGCGCCAGGGGGGTCCAGCGCCGATCCGAGAAATCCGCGCGGACCTCCGAGATTTCATGTTTATGTAATTCTTCGTTCCCCCAGGAACCTGGCCCTAGAGCGCACGGAAGTCTTCTTCTGGGTTCGAGCCTCAGTGGATGGAACGCACAGCAAAGGCATTCTTGCTGCCGAATTGCGGAAGATCCTGCACAGACCTTCGAGGAGCGATCCCAGATCCCCGGCTAGGGAGGGGAAGCGGCATCTGTCTCTGTTCCCCCTCTGTCGGGGATGGACAGACCCCCCTTTAGCAAAACGTGGTTTAGTGAAAACGACCTGAGGCCCAGACCTGGCGGGCGCAAGCCTGGAAAATAACGGCCGCGGCGCCCTCCCGAGAACCGAAAACGGCCAATTCACTAATCGACGTGTCACTGTTGGGGGTTCTGTCCGCCCCCGAGGCATCTGTCTCTGTTCCCCCTCTGGGCTTGCTTCGCGGATGGGGCACCACCACCCGAGCCCGCACGGCGGGCGCAAACTTCTCGGCCTCGCCGGCAATCTGCAGCGCCAGCTCGCGGGTTGGCGCCACGACGAGGGCGCTCGGCCGCGCTGGCTCGCAGCTCCACCACGACAACCTCCTCTTGAGCAGTGACGGGCAGTCCGGCATTCCTGTAGGCCTACCACGACATGATCTTCCAGAACAAAGGCATGCTCGAACAACAAAGCTGCAATCTTAGAACATGAAAGCGCCGTGCTATTATTCATTATTGGCGATATGAATACTATCCTTGAATAAGAAGCATCTCAGCTGGTGGAACTGTAAGACCAACTTTCTTGCAAAACACAATACGCGCTGAGACACCGACGTGGCGAGAGCAACTGGTAACGAAGATAAGACACTACCAGACCCCTAGACCCCATCATCCTGCTGCAATCTGGGTAGTCGAAGCCAATCTGGCGCCAATCTGACAGGCCCAATCTGGCAAACGGGGCGCGGCGAGGGAGCCAACGCGAATCCAGTCTGGCGAATGACCCAAATCATCCAGTTTGGCCGGGCCAGATTGGCCCTTGGGGCCCAATCCAATCCGACAGTCTGGCCTTCGACGACCCGGATGTGCGCCGAGCTGGACTGATCGGGACACACAAATAAATACACACAAATAAAAGAATTCCCCATATTTTCCCATATTTTCTGGGTTTTGGTCTTCCCCCCCACTTCTCATATTTTCCTATATTTTCCTGGGGATCGTCGATTCATTGTGTCTGTGTTTTTTCCCCTCTTGATGATCGGTGAGGGCCCCTCGGCCCGAGACGAACCAGATCGCCGGCTGTGAAAAACATAGGGTGCCATGACTTGCGGGCGGTTGCCCGAATGCCCCGACGCCAGGACCTGCTCCCTTAAGTGGGACCCCGGAGGTCTGAGGTCTGGACCCCCTTCCCCAGGGGCCCCCCCCCCCTCCTCCTCCTCCTCCTCCTCCTCCTCCTCCTCCTCCTCCTCCTCCTCCTCCTCCTCCTCCCCCTCCTCCTCCTCCTCCTCCTCCTCCTCCTCCTCCTCCTCCAAACGGCCCTGGGGCCTGGCGGAAACACGCCCGGCTTCATGCTGTCCGATGCGCTGGAGGTCTGAGCTTGCTGATTCCGGGCGTGAGGGGTTCTTTCGTAATTGGGGGGCAAACAAACCTGCCTCGCTTTTGACCACCCTCGCTTCCAAGAGATACCAAGCGATGCCAAACGACGGCCTGTACTGGTCAGGCCGCTTGAAGAGGAGGCGCGTGGTATGACTTGGTTTTGCCTGGAAGCGAAAGCGGGGTAGGTAATTCACGCTCTGAGTAATGAAGTCACGGAAAAGTGCGATAGTTCATCCTGTGGCGCCAGGCGCGGGGCAGCCACGTTCTGATTTTGCACGACGTGCGCATCCCGCACGAAGGATTGCACGAACTGCTGCGCACACTTCCGAGACCCCTCTGCAAAGGTTGGCGGCGCGCAGGAGGGAGGTCAGGGGATAGGGGGGATGGTTCTTAGAAGGAGGCCGCTTACTAGAAGGCGCGGGCCCTATTTGGGCGCCCGAACTATCCGGGGTAACTCGGGTCCGGGGTAAGTCGGGTTCGGAATTCCGAACAACCAACCCGAGTTACCCCTGACCCGAGTTACCCCTGATGATTCGGGGCTCTGGACGCCCGAATTATCCGGGGTAACTCGGGTCCGGGGTAAGTCGGGCTCGAATTCCCAAAAAAGAACCCGAGTTAGCCCTGACCCGAAATACCCCTGATAATTCGGTGCTCTGACCTACATCTACAGACAAAGCCCGCGCCTTTTAAGAAGCAGAGGTGCCTCCAATGATCACTGCACCGACCTTGCAGGCGTGGTGCGGCGGATTTGTGCGTGGATTTTCTCTTAGTGCAAATCCCCGGAGCGGCGAGTGAAAAACGAAGTGAAATTCGCGCGGACGTTTCTTAGTCTTCATTCCTGGCCCCCCAAAAAACCGCACGAAATTCACCTAGAAATCCAGAACGAAATTATCCATGACACTCCGGGCCCATCCCATCGTTTTCCAAACGAGATCCGCTCTGCGATGTTGGTTGGCGGCGCGCAAAGGGGGTAGCGGGAGGGGGGGGAGGCTTCTGAGAAGCACCCTGATTCTTAGAAGGCCCTGGCCTTACGTCTATACAGAAGGCCCGCGCCTTCGAAGAAGCAGGGGTGCTTCTAAGAAGCCTACCCCCCTCCCCCTACCCCCCTCTGCGCGTGGCCGAGTTGGCGCCATGATGAGGGGCCTTCCCCCCCCTGCCCCTACCCCCCCCCTGCGCGTGGCCGAACAGGACCCATTCGCCCGAATCCGTATAGCTTGGTGGGCCTATAGGCCGGCCAAGACGCCTCGCCACTGCGCTCCTCGGGGCCGTCGCCGGCCCGCGCTCGCCGATGCGCGCGAGGGCCGGCAGCAGGAAGCCGCAGGTCTTGCCGCTGCCGGTCTTCGCCACGGCCACGATATCCTGGCCTGCCAGGGCGATCGGCCAGGACTGCGCCTGGATGGGGCTCGGGGCGGCGTAGCCCTGGGTGGCGAGCGCCTTCTGCAGGGCCGGCTGTCCCCCACTACTACAGTACGTCAACATGGCGGGGGAGAAGGGAGGGTGGGGAGGCCCCGCTTCTGAGCCACTAGGCCACTGATGGTCAGACAGCCCGCCGGACGCGAGCCCCCCCCCCTCCCCCCTCCCTCCTCCTCCTCCTCCTCCCTCCTCCTCCTCCCTCCTGCTCCTCCTCCTCCGCCTCCCTCCTCCTCCTCCTCCTCCTCCTCCTCCCTCCTCTGCTCCTCCCTCCTCCTCCTCCCTCCTCCTCCTCCTCCTCCTCCTCCGCCATCTCCTCCTCGCCTCCTCCTCCCTCCCTCTTCCTCCTCCTCCCTCCTCGCCTCCTCCTCCTCCTCCCCCTCCTCTCCTCCTCCTCCTCCTCCTCCTCCTCCTCCTCCTCCTCTTGCTCCTCCTCCTCCTCCTCCTCCTCCTCCTCCTCCTCCTCCTCCCTCTCCTACTGGTGGTAGTGGTGGTGGAATGTCGGCCCATCACCTTCGCAAGAGCCTTGCCGAGGACGGGCGCGGCCGCCCCGAAGGACTCGAGCGGCGCGGGGCAGGAGGCGTCGACGAGGATCTCGTGGAGCTTCCGGAAGGCAGCGGCACCAAGGCCCCCAGTGGCACCTGCACTGCCCTGTTAGGGCGACGGAGTCTATACAGCTTCACCAGGCCAATCCTGAACCCATAAGGCGAAGTTACGACGGGGAAAACATCGGGTACGGATGAATCAAGAATCTCTGAGATCTGGCGGCTCTGGAGGATGTATCGGGCGCCGCGGCCTTCTCAGAGCGTTCAGGAACGCTCTGAGAGCATGTCAGAACGGTCTGGAACGGATTCATCCTCGTCCTGGCTCCGCCCAAACTCAGAAGCGGTGTGTGCGCCACGCCTTCCTGGCTTGGCCAGGAGGGCGTGTACACCGCTGCTGGGTTCAGGATGGGCCTGGCCGGGGAGCAAAGGATAAGTGTAGAATTCGTCGCCAGACCTGTGCCGGCTTCTGCTGCTTCGCGTCAGCGGGGCTGCGCAGGTCGTTGGGGCACGCCTTCCTCTTGCCGACGCGAGGGTTCGTCGCGGCATCGACCGTGCTGGGTGCGGAGGGCTCCTCGGACTCGTTGCGCGCCGCTGCGCGAGCCGCTTTCCGGGCAGCCTTGCGCGCTGCCTTCTCCTCTGCTGCTGGATCGATCACGTTGGTCTGGGACTCCAGGGCTGCACCCGCTGCTTTTCTGGCCGCTTTTCTGGCCGCTCTGGCTGTCGCCTCCTCGTCCGGCACTTCTTCGGCGTCCTGCGCCTGCGCCGCTGGTGCCGCCTTTCGGGCGGCCTTGCGTTCAGCCTTTGCCTTGTCCACATCACCTGCGCTACGAAATTTTGGATCTGCAGCGCACATAAGGCGTGGACTCAACGGCATGGCTTACGCTGGCGAGGCGCCGCACGATAATCCTGGCCTGGACCTGACCTTCGCCGATCGCGGACCTTGAAGCAAAAACAGCTACAGAAAAATGCTTCACGCTCTCGGCACTGCTTGAAGTAGTGCATCCGAGGCGTGGCCATACTATCTATGCTTGCAAGCTTTGGGGCAACCAATCTTGGGCACAGCAACCACTTCTGAGCACTGCTCCAAGTGCCAACAAAAAGATGGCCAACACTCACTTCCGAACGGACAGTTGTATGATTCGGGCTCCTCCATCCGTGTAGTTGGCTGCTGCTGAGTCTTAGCCCTGTGGTCATAGAACCTCGCAACGTCCCAGAAGAGAGCCCCATCAAGGGCCCCGATCGAAGGCCCGTGGGGCAAAATCCGGCAATACACCCCCCCCCTCCCCCATCTTGAGCTTCGTCAACGCGTTGGGATGGCTGGCTTACCTGCGCTCAGGCCCCGCTAGGCTGATTTCTTTGACGCGTTGGCCACCAAACCTCCTGACCCCCACACCCGCACCCTACACCCTGCGAAATGCTTAAGAAATCATGGGTTGAGAAATTCATAGTCTCAGAACTTGAAGAAAAACCCAACGTTTCCGTTAAAATCTTAAGATTTACATTGGAACGTTAAGAATAATCGAGACTCTGGCCGAAAACTTAAGTTTTCTTAAGCATCGCCTAAGGTGTAGGGCTGAGTTCTTTGACGCGTTGGCCACCAACCCTCCTGACCCCCACACCCGCACCCTAGAGCAGGCTCGGGTCGGGCGAAAGGGGGGGTAGCAAAGGGGGGGTTTGAGAATCAGCTCACGTAGCTGATTTTCCTGGCGCCTCCCGGCGCCAGAAGGCGCGCATGTATCGAGGAATTGGCCCGGCGGCGGGGCCGAAACCAGCTGCATGCAGCAGATTTCGTAACCCCCCTTTCCCAATCCCCCCCTTTCGCCCGGCCCGACTAAGGTGTGAGCAGGCCCCTCACCCAAAGCCGCCTACCGACTGCGAGGCTCCCGCGATGCTGAAGTCGCCCAAATCACGGACCTGCGGATTCGGGTCAAGGAAGAGGCCCCGGGAGACACAAATCCATAGACACAACTCACAAGCTTCCCTTCCTGTTTCAACACTTCCTGGGTTTTCGTCTTCCCCCTCACTTCCTATAGTTCCCCATTCTGTGTGTCTGCATGGATTGCCCTCCCGGGTCAACACGTGCTTTTGAAATCTGGGTAATGAGGATCGGTGGCCTTCGGGCCACAACTCGGGCCTCAGGCGGCAATCCAGGACGATCCTCGCACCGCCGGGAAGCATCTCGACGAGGCGCGGCTGCTGGAAGGCAGAGCGAAATCGGGAAACCTCGGAGAGCCAACGAAGCCTTGCGAGAACAGTACTCCAGATTTCGTAATAAAAGGGAGGGGGTCTGGACCCTCCAGGACAAGCCATTTCAGACCCCCCCCCCCCCCGTGGGAGAACCCTCCAAAACATCGTCCCCAGACCCCCCCAGGCCCTCCAAGATAGCCTGGAAGAGACCCCCCCCGAAATGAGACCCCCCTCCCTTTTATTAAATCGCTGACTGCTATCAATGCTTTGGGGTGTCATTTCGGGGTCTCATTTCGGGGGGGGTCTCTTCCAGGCTATCCTGGAGGGCCTGGGGGGGTCTGGGACGATGTTTTGGGGGGTTCTCCCACGAGGGGGGGTCTCAATGGGAGGGTTGAGACCCCCCTCCCTTTTATTACGAAATCTGGAGTAGCACCGCTGACTGCTATCAATGCTGTGGGGTGTCCGGTTTCCAGCTATCCCGAGAAGGCCCCCAGGCCTCTCGACTCTCACGACCCCTCCCCAACGGCTGGCGCTTCTTTCCGAACGTGCCCGACGCCACCTCCTCCTCCTCCTCCTCGTCCTCTTCCTCTTCCTCCTCCTCTTCTCCTCCTCCTCCTCTCCTCCTCCTCCTCCTCCTCCTCCTCCTCCCCCTCCCCCTCCTCCTCCTCCTCCTCCTCCTCCTCCTCCTCTTGCTCCTTCTCCTCCTCCTCCTCCTCCTTCTCCTCCTCCTCAACAGGACAAAACAAGCCGCTTCGATACGCATCCGGGGGCCCGAAATCGAGGTCCCTCACGACAAGATTGGCTGGCGTCGAGATAGTTGGCGGCGCGCGTGCAGGGGTGGGTGACCCAAGGAGCGGCTGCCGAAGAGGATGGAAGGTCTCTCAAAACCAGGTGCCCTCTCAGAAGCACCCCTCCTCCTCCTCCTCCTCCTCCTCCTCCTCCTCCTCCTCCTCCTCCTCCTCCTCCCCTTCTCAGAGGACGTCTCAGAAGCCAGGAAAAATCCCCCCCGCTCGCGCCCCTTCCCCCCCCCCCTTCTTGCGCGCAGCCAAACTGGCAGCCCACCCCCTTTCCCGGACGCGACCAGCATCTCGTCCCGAGCCGTTTGTAGATAGGCCCCCCCCCACCGCGGACGAAATGTACCCCCCACACACACATGTGCCCCCAACATGTTAAGGAGGGCCGATGGAGGCAGGAGGTAGGAGGCACGAGACAGGAGGCAGGAGTGGAACAGGCTGGCGGCATGAGGGAACGGAGGAAACTACAGACGGATATAGGAGTTCGGAAAGAGGGATGGCACACCCAGCCGTTTTTTGATAGCCCCCCCCCCCCCGAACGGACGAAATGTGCCTCCCCAGCACGTGCCCCCAACATGTGAAGGAGGGCTGATGGAGGCAGGAGGCAGGAGGCGCGAGACAGGAGGCAGGAGAGGGGATAGGCAGGAGGCAGGAGGGAACGGAGGAACTACAGTCGGCGGTGGACAAACCTCCCTTTTGTAAACCTCCCCTTAATGAAAACGGCCTAGGACCGAAACCGACGGACCTGGACCCGCAAAGATGACGCCCGCGACGCCCTCTCGCGAATCGGAAACGGCCACTTCACTAATCGACGCGTCAAGGCAGGAGGCCTATCAACCTCCGAGTCCTGCTCTGCACCCGCCTTCCGCCGCTGGCTTTCAGGAGCCTGTGGTGCAGGCGGCGGCCCAAAGTCGGGAGCGGCCAAGAGGGGGGTGTCCAAGAGGGGGGGGTGCCAATCATGACCGGCGGCATGTGCGCGGCCCAGCGGGGCGGCCTGGGACGTAATGAAATAAGAAGAGGCGCCATGAAATCTGGGGAAATATCATGGCCCCCGCCATGATATCCACCCCCCCCTAGTCATCACCCCCCTCTTTTCTGCCCCCGACAAAGGGGAGACGACGAGCAAGGAGAGGCAAGCAGACGACCGCGAGCGCACATGCTGGAGGCCAGAGCCGGCGGGACCGGGCAGGCGGGCGGGCTCCTCCTCCTCCTCCTCCTCCTCCTCCTCCTCCTCCTCTTTCCTCCTCCTCCTCCTCCTCCTCCTCCTCTTTCCCCCTCGTCCTCCTACGCCTCCTCCTCCTCGTCCCCGTGGGCAAGACCCCCCCCCCCGTTGCCGCGGGCACCCGCCCCGCCTCGGCCGCGTCGTCCGAATCCGAAGACGAGGAGGTCATATCGGCCGGGCTGCCGCCGCGCGCGGCCCCAGCAGAGGAGGAGGAGGAGGAGGAGG